AAAAAAAAAAAAAAAAAAAAAAAAAAGGACATTGAAATATTCTTACTTCAAATGATTCATAGTTTTAAAGCATTCGTAGCTTCCATCCCATTAGGATGAAAATACTGCCCCTTCATTTCATCAGACTATGCCAGCAATACCCACTGGACATTTTATTGCCCAATATTAGCTACCAGCGAACAGCGTAGGGTTTACAACAAGGAATCAATGACTAAACTGGCCATGAATCATTTTAAAGGGGCCTTTCACTATACCAGCTGACACTCCATCACAGATGCAGTATGCTCTTTTCCCTCCTCTCTACTCCTGCCAGGGCGTGAGTCAGAAACCACCCTTCCAGCTGAGTAAAACTGGACAACACCCTTAGCCAGGAAGTACTGCTCCTAAACAAGCAACTAATGGAAGTCTGAATGCTTCAAGTAATTAGTCTAACCCATGGTAGTTAAAGGTGTGGTGGAATTTACAGACAATTAGAGATTGCAAATATTGACTTGCTTAACCTTGAAAAGAGAAGAGTTAGAGGGAATTTATGAGAAGTATGGTAGATTATGAAGGGGACGGTAAAAACTGATCACCTTGCTCCTTTTCAGAACGGCCCATAAATATGAAAAACAAGTCAGTTAATAGCAGGTAAATTGCTGTCTTGCTAGATAAGTTTTAGCTGTTCTCCATGTAGTAAAACTGCACTTTTCCAGTTCAAGATCTATGTATTCATTTGGAAGAATTCACTCCATTCCTAAAACAAGCCACATCACGCACAAACAAAAGTAGATTTTACCTTTACAAAGCTCGGTGAGCAGAAGAAACTCGCCCTGCCCAGTATCAGATTCTTCTTTTCCTATTGATGCAGCAGAGCAGAACTGGACAATATTAGGATGACCTGAAAGCTTTTTCTGGGGATTTGTTCAAGGAAAAACTAAGCATGTCAGAGATTTTCTTCGGACTATCAAGCACAATCAGCTCACATACACGTCTAATTGGATGTGTTTAACATACACAACAGAAGAACCTAACCAGTATCTCATCTGAACAGAATGAGAACTACAGGCAAAGTCACCAAGAGTAAAAAACTCAATACCTGTTAACAAGGCTCTGGAAGATGCAGATTCTGATCTAGATACAGCTTGGTCTCTCTTGACAATGAATGCAATGCAACAATAGAGGTATTTGTAAAAGACTTCTCCAGCAACTAGACTTAATCATGGATATCTGCTGACATTCTGGCTGTGTGACCAAGGCAGGCCACTGTGCCCTCCACACAGGTCTATACATTAGCCTGGGGTGCCCTTTCTTTTATGGTTTTCCTTCAACTAAGTAGAAAAAGGTCTCTCAAAAATCAGAGCCAAGAAGCTTCATTATAAGCAAGATTAATAAAAAGGAAAATCAAAAACTTTATACTATAAAAGGCTTTTTAAAATTTCACTTTCAATTAAAAAGAGGATCAAGGCTCCTCATTCTGGTGGAGGGAGGAAGAGAGAGAAGTAAACCTAAGTGACCTTAGTCACTGGCTGAGGAGCTTACAATGTATCTGGTTATGTGTTTATATCAAAATTAGAACAGTGGGACCCTGGTCTAAAATTGGGGTCCACTGGTGTATTGAGCCATGAATGCATGAAACCAAGCTGCTTAAAAAAGGGTATTGGCCAAGGGTTGTGAGTAGTGTTCTGACTCTCGGGCTTACAAAGCGTGCCCCTCTTGTGAACTCAAATGTAAAAAGTATGCGAAAGTTCATAAAATGTTACAATAACCATGAAAAATTGGTCAAAGTTGCTTACAAAGTTGAATGTTGTAACAAGTGCATGAGAACCAGACAAAGAAACTGGATTAGTCTAAACCAGAAAGGTCATGCTGATCTAATAAAAGGAGTGTTAAAAATAAGGCGGGTAAAAAAAAAAAAAAAAAAAGTGGAACCAGAAGATAACAGATCAAAATTGGTGTGCCAGATATTAGGCCTAATCAGTGAACAAAATAATGAGGGGGATGAACTATGCTGCCCACTTTTTCCCCTTTTGGGGTTTCTTAAAAAGAGACGTGTGAGGTAGGGGAAAGATCAGTTCAGTTCGGCTCTCCCTCTTATCTCCTGTCCCACCTTGTATCCTCCGACCTGCCAGCACCGCAACTCCTCTAAGGGACTTTATTCCAGAAGAGAAGGCCGGCTGGCCTCGCTCTTGTTTAAGGAACTTGGTTTTCACCTATGAGTGCTGAAAGTCATCGCATCATCATGATAACCAGTCATCAGTCCACCAGCGGGGAGAGCTAATTACCAGCACCACAAAGGCATGTAAGATCCTGTATTATATTCCCTTCTCTTGTGTTATCTTCTGCCCCACGGTTTCTTTCTTCCTAGCCTCTCTCACTCCTGACTTTTCATCGAACCCTGAAATTAACAGTTCTGCAGTCATCCAAGCCTGCCTTGTCTAAGGAGAAAGGATCCAACCAGATGACAGCCCTGACCACATTGTAACTAACCAGGGTCAAAGCAGCAGGCATCTCGATCGACTAGCCAGCCAAAGCGTCCACTCGTAACTAACCAGCGATCCAGTGTTCCAAAAATATCAACAAATGCCATATTTTACCCATCTTTTCTATCCCATCTCTTCTCCACCTTTAGTCTGCCTGCTTGTTAAGAACAGGATAAGTAGATGCCCTTCACATCAGGACAGAGTAAAATTAACCTTCGCCTTTTCATCAAAGAAAGGCTGTTCTGAAAATAAGAGGCTGATAGTTTGACACCAAAAAGAGAGAGACTTTGATAAGGTCTAACTAAGTCTGTTTTGCATAATCACTCAACCACAGTTTCAAAATAAACACTTCATTTAATTTTTTGTTCTTTCTTGTGTTTAACCAATAAACTTTCAAATGAATTAAATGAATGCTTTGAGGTGTTTCCCACATCAAGTAAAACCAGGGGCTCTATTTAAAAACAACCCCAAACCTATCTATCACAGTTTAATATTGGACAGGGAGTGAGTTTATAAAACCTGTAACTCTTCAGGCCTTTGAGACCAATATCCATACAACAATAGGGAAAAAAGAAGAGTTGTTAACTCAACAAGGGGAGTAGAAAGTTTAAACAAATCTTTATCCAACTGGGAAATGACAAATTTTCTGAATTTCCCCTCCAAAATTATGACAGACCAAACCACTATCTCACATTCCATGCATAACATTACAGCTGTTTACTTTAGTATTTTGGAAACATCCTTTGACTTCACAAATTATGGCTTGGCAATTAGTGACCTCTAGCCTATGATTGGTCACTGAAGGAAGGAGTAAATAGCAGGTGCAATCATTTATTTAAAAGGAAGTTTGATACCCACAACTCTTTATGATGTACAGTTACTTTGGCATCAGTTTTCCAGAGTTCAATTTTATGGATGACACTAAAATATTAGCTAAACATTTGAATAGACGACAAAAAAAGGAGCTGAATAACTCAAGGGACTGATGTGACTGAAAACCTTTTATCCTGGTACAGACCAACGAGTTACAAGCCCAGGTTTCAAAGAATTTCTTCACTGGAGAAATACTTTAGAAATATTTTCAGTGTCAATATGGATCGTGAAGACCAGAAGCTTTCTAAGTCTTCAGGATGTTCATTTCTTTATTCTAAATATTGAATTTTGACCTAAAAAGGATACCATAAAACAAACTTCTTGAATGATAGCTCTGTTCTTCTCCTCTTCATTAGACAATAACCTCTGTATCAGAAAAAAGAATATTGAAAAAGGGTATACCATTTTGAAGTATTATAAACTTATAAAAACACATACATGGGAAAAATCAGAGCTAACAAAATCGTCAACTCTCAAGATAAGGGAGAAAGAATCAAAGCTGGCTTGATCCCGCTTGGACATGTCACCGCAACAATTACCAGGTTTCTAGTCACCTGTCCTTCTGTTCATCTACATCAGTGGTTTTCAACCTTTCCAGACTCCTTTCAGGAGTCTGATGCTCAAGCCCCACCACCCAGGTATGACGCATGTAACTTAGCTTCACGGGTTCCCCCAGGCAATTATCCTGCTTGCCACCTTCTAACACCGACCCTGCACTTGCAACCCCCCTAAATCCATCCCGTGGCCCCTCTGGGGCTCACGACCCCATAGGTTGAGAACTACTGATCTAGATGAGTTGATGTACCCCCTGAAAGACCTCTGCGTACCCCTGGTTGAGAACCACTGATCTATATCCTCTCTCTCTCTCTCTCTGGGAGCGCAGCCTCTAGAATCATGCTTGCACTACTGCACATAGCAGTTAGTTCTGGAAGTTAGTTCTACAGCAGTCTTCTGGACTTCTGGGATGTTTTGCTACAGCAAAGAAACTTGTGCAGCAGATTCAAGGGAATTTTTAATGGAATTAAATATGACCATCACTACCATTCTTCCTGGTTTTATTGATGTGGATATTAAATATAGTGTCCCCCACACTTCCAATTTGCTACTGATTTATGCATTAATAAATGTAATTCCATTCTGGTGGCAGAGGGAGGAGAGAAAGACTGGAGATTTGGGTAGCTGTAACTTTTGGCACCTACAGAGTGGTTGTGGTTTTCTGACAACAGTGCCTCTCTCTCTTCTCTTAGGTGAAAGAGAGAGATGGACTGGGAGAGATAACTTGGGTGTTCTTGCCACTCACTTGATGGTCCAGTTCCCCCTTCTGAAATGCATTTTCCTGAGGATTACCCCTAGAGAAAGTTCATTCCCGCTGAGAGGTTGGAGTCATGTAGTCTCATGGTGAAAGAGGTTTCATGCTGTTGTCTGCTAAACAGTAGTGTAGACCAGCCCTTAAGTCAATCTAACTTACGTCACTCAGGGGTGTGAAAAAGACACCCCCGTGAGCGATGCAAGTTACCACGACCTAAGCACTGTCCAGACCAGCACTATGTCGGAGGGAGATGCTCACCTGCTGAGATCACCTCCGCAAGAGGCGGAAGCTGAGTAATTATGCCGACGGAAGAGCGCTCTCCCGTCGGCATAGAGCGTCTTCACCAGACGTGCTGCAGCTGCGCTGATGTGGCGCTTCTAGTGTAGACCTGCCCTCGGATGAAGATCTGTTTATTCCTGCCCCTCTTCCTTGCCAAAGAATGGCCACTTGGTAGGTGATGGCCCATCGACTTTGAGGACACCTGGCTAGACGTCTTTGTTTGCTTGTTTGTCTTTGAGAAATTGGTTTACCCACTCCCCAGACATGTCTGATAAACACACTTCAGTCATGATTTCAGCTTATATTCATGTACAGTACTAGTATCCCGCAGACTATCGGACCACCAATATACGTATGCCCATATCAATGGACCAGCTCAGTGAATGGCGGGACTTTCCGTTCTTCCCTAGGCCAGACAAAGATACATCCTCTGAGATACATCTTTATACACCAATACAAACAAGTTAGTACTGCCCCTCTGACATGCCTAATTATCACCCATCACCTTGTACATGTTGGTTTTGACAAAGTTAAGTATTTTCTGTGTCCGTTTACACAGTAGAGGAATGTGCGTATGTGAATCATCTGGACTGGTACAGTAAGCAATGGAGAAAATCCTTCAGCTCTGACTTTAGTTTTGTATGTACACACGTACTACAGTGACCATCATGCTAATGCACTGAGTCAAAAGACATTTCAATCTTTAAAGTGATTTAAACACACATTACCTTTAAAGCGTAATCTTTGCCACTTCCAAGATCTTGAGCTTCATATACAAAAGCAAACCCACCTATGAGATTAAGAAAAGTAAATTATACATTTCATTAATGTCTCTACCAGGTAAATTGATTATTTAGCTTTATTTTAACAACTATAAATAGAAACATTTCAGTTAATATTAGAAGTGTCTCTAAATACAGTGAGTGTATTCGATTATTTTTCAATTCCTAATCAGCATCATTAAGAATACCATAAATGTATTGGAAAGTTGGAATGGACTTCTGCTAAGATTCAGAGAGATGGATTAGGGCTGACTCATTAGCCCTCTACAATTGCCCCTTGTGTTAGCAGGTCCCTCCCATATGGCAAAAATATGGGTGGGCCTGCAGCCATACTACAGAGGTCAAAGAAAAAGCATCCTTGACATGCCATCCATTCTGGTCAGGGTTTTTTTTTGGTGGTTCAATTATGGCCTGGACACAAAAAGAACGTCTCCCAAAATTCAAAGAGCTAAGGTGTTGCAGTCTGTGGGACAGAACTCCCCAAAGAAAGTACCCAAGAAGTGAAGTGGCTAATGACGTTCACTGAAGTGAACCTTAAAATGATTTCACCACCTACAAATGTGTGTATCTTCTTATGAAAACGTTTTTGCTCTTTACTACTGTAATTAATGGCCTAACACAATAGCTCTCTCTCAGGATGCTAGCCAATCCCTAATCCTCACTCCTTTTTTGGAGGGCTCCATGCCTGGACACCCATTTAAGTTGCCTTGTATATGCTCGGGAGTAGTTCCCACATCCCATGCTTTTTATCTGTTGTTTTTCTCATTTTCTTTAGTCTCTTATTTGCAGGTTCTACTTTCTGTTTTTCTTTCTTCACCCTTTTTTCTTCATTGCTCTGCTCCCCTACTTTGTCAAGCACACACGTTCACAGCTGCTCCCACTGTTCACTTCCCCAATTCTCAGTAATAGCAGGTCCCCCACTGCTTTGCTCTCCGATCTCTGCTGGCCTCTTTGGGTATTATGCTAACCTTGCGCGGTCTCCAAGCCCTACCACAAACAGGGCAGGGAAATGGCAGCTTTTGGAGCTCAGAGCCTCCCTTTATTACACCACTGCTTCGGGCAGCACTGCTTACACCACCATGCTCCACCTGGCAAGTCTGATTTCACTAGGGGAGGGCATGCCACACAAACTCTCAACCATCAATCCACTGCACTTTAAGTTTTAACTGGTTTTGTTCAAATTTTTCTGTCTTCACCTAGCAAATCATTCATGGGTCAAGTTTACCTCCGACAGGGAGAAAAGACAATATCTGGGTCTTGACACCTTCCACTAAGCCTCTTGCCACTTGCAGAAGGGCTTGCAGAAGTAACAGTAGCCCCTTTAGGAGACAGAAGTGAAGGGAATGCATTTGGACTCCATATCCAAAGAGATACTGAGACCGAAAAGAAGCCCAAACTGGGGAGGTTCTCTGTAGGTTTTGTTATACACACCACAGCTTGAGGAAAAGGACACACTGGCTGATTTTTCCATCAAGATATTCTGTCCGTTTACATATTTGCTACTTTTCACACATCTCACTTGATTAAGGGCTTGTCTACAAGTGCAGTGCTGCAGCGGCACCAATACAGCAGCACCGGGCAGCATGTCTGGCGCAGACGCCCTACGCCAGCAGGAGCCAGCTCCCCGTCGGCATAATAAAACCACCTCTGAGCGCGGCAGACACAACGTCGGCGGGAGAGCGTCTCCTGCCGACACAGCGCTGTGCACACCGGCGCTTGTGTTGGCATAACTCAAGGGGGTGGTTTAGTCACTCTTTAGCGACAGAAGTTATGTCAACATAAGCTCTAGTGTAGACACAGCCCCAATTTAGGCCTTCAAGCCCAGATTTCAACACTGCAAAGGCTAAATTGAATCAGTGTTCAAGGTTATTCTGACTAATTCACCTCATGACTGGGTGCTTATTTTCCACTGCTTCCATCTGGCTTCAAAGGGAATCTCAGTGATATTTCAAGTACATGGGAGAGATAAATTGCTTATTTGGGTTTTCTTAGCTACATTTTGTTATCATTTATATACAAAACTCCAAATATCATAAAGTGGAGTCATTTTCAAAACATAGATGGACTTTCTAGCATCAGTTTACTGTTAAAAGCATTATGGGGTTTTAAAGTAGCAAAACATTTATGTCCTTTCATGAACTAAGTGGGGTGGTTTGTTACCAAGCTGCCATTTGTTATTGGCGATAAACAGTTTTCACTCTCAACTTCTTTTCACAATGCCTACTTGGTAACTAGTTAAGAAACTGGTTCAGGGCTCTGAACACAAAACAAAGCCACCTACTTAATGGGAAGTGACACAGGAGTAAGTCATGGGCCAGTCTATTTTCCTTATTTATTAGCTACTTATCATTTAATACAATGTTCAGCTGTCTGTATACACCAATAGCAAACTATTTGTACGGTTCTAATCCATTTTGGAAGTGATTTCAATTTCTTTCATCTGTGGATATGCATGACAGCCAAAACTACAAATCAATGCTTTATTTGGCTGCAGTTTTTCTTCTACTGTTGAAGCATTTGCCCTGTAAGATTATAGTAAACCGAGGAAGAGGGGATAACAAAATGAGATGGTGGTGGGAAACTAATCATACCTCTAACGGGATCTTATCCTAGTCCCACTAAACAATGATATTCTCAGAGTTTTATATCAGAGAAGAGAAGGAAGAGAACTCCGATGTCATAAGCCTGTAATGTTTCATAACTCAGCAACAAGAAAAGAAGGCTAGAGCAGGTCTAAGGAAGAGAGCAGTGCAGGAGAGACAAGAAGGAGTTGACCTGCTATCCCCTTTGACTAAGGGACCAAGATGCCAATATCTCCAGCCCAGCCACCTTACACATGCTGGAACAACCGCTCTGTGCATGAGGAACACTGCCCAGGTAAGGCAAGAGGATGAATGCATACATTTGCTTCATGAGCAATCCAAACAGCTACAGTAGCAGGCTTTTCAGAGAGCTGGTACTCGGAACCCTTTTGTAGGATTATGTGCAATCACTACATTCCCATCCAGTAACAGCTAACCAGCACGAGACTCCCACAGAGGATCCACTCATCTTGTTTTTCCAATAGTGCCAACAACAGAAACAGCGTGAAATTACAAGCACTCCTGGACTCTCCCTCTGCTGTTGGTATCCTTAGGGAACTACTATATACAGGGGAAGCAAAGGCAAAATCCTGGGGGCTCGAGGTTGAAGGAAAGGAACGAGATGAGCAGAGGGGCTAGGGAAAAAGTCAGACAGAGCGAGAGAGCGAAACACTGGAGGGGACAGACAGACTAGTAGGGCACAGAAGAGAGCTCAGCTGAGAATATAAAAGAAGGGTGACAGACATAAGTGTTACCAGTAAAGCAGCTTATTCATACCCCACGATGTGCACTTGGACTGGGTCTTTCACGGGATATAGATTCCAAGTTAGAAAGTAAATCACAAGCCTGCAGCACAGCACATCAGGAATACTCCACTTCCTCTACATGCCAAAGGGGAAAGGGGGGCAAGCAGAACCCAAAGGAAGTGACAAGTTTGTTCTCTGCAGGTTCTCCTGTTTACCCATTTCTGCCTCACTTTCTAACTTCAGGTTCTGTACCCTCTGAACAGAGCCCACAGTGTTTGCAGAGTGCCCCACAAGTAGGGCTCAGAGGCACTATAGTGATAAAAAACAAACCACCACCACCAGTAACTTAAATCCTTAATAAGCCCCCACAATTCTGGAAAGAGCCCTGTTCCCACCATCAAGTGCAGAGGAGATGAAGTATCAACTGGGGCCAGTTAGTCTCTTCCTGCATGGGTAATGGAACAAAACATGAGAAATTACAGCATGCCCAATGCTTCTGCTAATCAGTGGGTGAGACACAGTTGGTGCCATCTGGCAAAGGGTTCACTGTTCTGTAACTACTCCTCTTAACAGGCCTGACAAGTAGAGCCCTGTAAATCTGCGGATATCCGCTTTATATCTACGGATAGGATGCGGACACAAATTTTGTATCCGCGCAGGGTTCTACTGACAAGCTCACTACACCTAGCACCATTTCATAGTATTTATCCATAAAGAACATTGGGGAGGTCCCTAATATAAGCTCATGTCATACTCATGCTCACAATCACTGCGTGATGTGCGTACGGATGAAATTTAAGGAGGCGTGCATATGTACTGAAAAGATGTTTGAAGTGTGTCCAAGGCAGAGCTGACCAGCAAGCCTTGGCCAGACAAAGGATGTTGATTCATCTGTCCCTGTTGACCGTGTAGATTAAGCAGTGTAAGCCAACGCAATGGGAGCCCCATTTACATACAGCATCAACAGGAAAGGAGCACACAGGAAAAAACAAGCCATGAAGGTTAGCCTGGCTGTGTGCAAAGGCAATGAACTCGGGGTGGTGGGGGGGGGAAGAGGTACAGAAGGGGTATTTTTTGTGTTGTATGTAACCATTTCTGTTTCCATTATCCTTACTCACTACCTCTTAAATCTTATGTGGTAGAGTACCTCAATCACCTTGCTGGCCTCAGCATTTCTCTCTCGGGGGAGGGGGGCTGAAGTAATCAGTCTGACGCCGGAGGGTTTTATTTTTCCTTATTTACATGGTGGGCCTCAGACAAGGCCCAAGTTCTCTTAAGCAAAAGAAAAGAAACCCCAAACTCACAGTGCAAACAGAAATATTTTTTCCTGCCCTCTCTCCACGGTGTTACCCTACTATGCTGGCTTCTAGGTGCCAGTCCTTCCCCAGGCAGCTGTTAACTGAGTTTCTTTCCCTGTAGGGAGGGCAGACAACCTTCCCCTCAGGGGAAGCCTTTCCTTCCTGCTGCTGCCACTACCCCTGCTGCAGCTTGTCTCCCACCTCTCCCTCAGCAGTAGATGACTTTTAAAAGATCACTGGCAGCCGGTAACTGGCCTCAGGTGTCTTTAGTTTGAGGTAACCTTTTTCCAGCTCACAGGGGAACAGGCCTTCACCATTCTAGAGCGGATAGATCTGCTCTCCACCACTTCCTTATAGCTGTCAGAACGGACTTTGTCACACGTAGCTTTTGATAATAAATGTATGACTGTTTTCACTATAACTGTATCTCAGTGCTGCGGTGTTATAAAGGGCCTGATCCGGAGCTGTAACATTCAAGCTATATGTACACTGCTCCTTTAGGGACATCAAATCTGGTAATTTCGGTAGTTAGGGGCTGGACGCTGCAGGGAACACTCCCGGGGGTTGGTGCGTGCCTATCACTAGCCTGCACAGAGAGGCTTGCGGAGGCCTGGAAGGCTGTGCTTGTGTTGCAAGGTTTCATGGTGCTGGTATACAGCAGGCAGAGACAATAATGCCTCATGCTGGGGGGGGAAGAGATGAGGTGCCTCACAACTCTGGGTACCCCTGGGGAGCTCACAGTAGGGACTAGTGTTATACAGCTATGACAGTACTGGTGAACCATGTAGTAGCCATGCAGGAGAATAAATTCATTCTGTCCTTGAAGCGAAGCCCATTACCGCTTGCAGACAAATCTACATTTCTGGTCCAGTTTAGTGATGTGAAGCCAGGGCAGCAGAGCCTGCCCAAAAATGCGGGGGGGAGACAGGGCCCTCCACCCCTCATCTTCCCCCCAAGGCCCCGGCCAAGCTGGAAGCCGGAGCAGGCTGGGAGCCATGGCCCCTCCACCTGCCCAGCGTGGGGGGTCAAGAGCAGCCCCCAGCCTGTGTCCCTCCCCAGGGAGGGTGGAGGGTCCACGGTGCCCCACAGCTGCCCGGGCTCCAGATGCCGGCCTGGCGGGGAGGGACAGGGGCAGAATCCCTGCTGAAAAGTGGGAAGGCCATGGTCCCCTGACTCCCCCTATTCCGGAGCCCCTGACGTGAAGTACTATTTTTGGTAACAGTTATATTTTAAAATTGCTCCAAATTATTATTAACCTTTGAAACCTGCCATGTTTGGAGAGGTGGGGACATCATCTACACTAGCTGAGTGAGCCCATATATGAACAATTAGAACTACGTTATTGCACCTGTTTGCCCTTGAAACACACTTAGAGACACAGCATGAAGAGATGCTCTTCAGAATGAAGACTTATGTTCTTCAGTCAGCACATGAACCGACTCCCAGCACATTTAAAAAAAAAAAAACAAGTTTGCGGATGATACCAAACTGGGAGGGATTGCAACTGCTTTGGAGGACAGGGTCATAATTCAAAATGATCTGGACAAATTGGAGAAATGGTCTGAGGTAAGCAGGATGAAGTTTAACAAAGACAAATGCAAAGTGCTCCACTTAGGAAGGAACAATCAGTTTCACACATACAGAATGGGAAGAGACTGTCTAGGAAGGAGTACGGCAGAAAGGGATCTAGGGGTTATAGTGGACCACAAGCTAAATATGAGTCAACAGTGTGATGCTGTTGCAAAAAAAGCAAACGTGATTCTGGGATGTATTAACAGGTGTGTTGTGAGCAAGACACGAGAAGTCATTCTTCCGCTCTACTCTGCGCTGGTTAGGCCTCAACTGGAGTATTGTGTCCAGTTCTGGGCACCGCATTTCAAGAAAGATGTGGAGAAATTGGAGAGGGTCCAGAGAAGAGCAACAAGAATGATTAAAGGTCTTGAGAACATGACCTATGAAGGAAGGCTGAAAGAATTGGGTTTGTTTAGTGTTGAAAAGAGAAGACTGAGAGGGGACATGATAGCAGTTTTCAGGCATCTAAAAGGGGGTCATAAGGAGGAAGGAGAAAACTTGTTCATCTTAGCCTCTAAGGATAGAACAAGAAGCAATGGGCTTAAACTGCAGCAAGGGAGGTTTAGGTTGGACACTAGGAAAAAGTTCCTAACTGTCAGGGTGGTTAAACACTGGAATAAATTGCCTAGGGAGGTTGTGGAATCTCCATCTCTGGAGATATTTAAGAGTAGGTTAGATAAATGTCTATCAGGAATGGTCTAGACAGTATTTGGTCCTGCCATGAGGGCAGGGGACTGGACTTGATGACCTCTCGAGGTCCCTTCCAGTCCTAGAATCTATGAATCTATGAGGAAGCTAGCCCTGCCAAGACTGAAGTAGCAAGGAGTTGGAGGAATAAGCTTGACCATTTCAGCTGATCATGATTACCAGAAAATGTGTGATGGGAGAGATAAGACTTCACAAACTGAGCCATTATATAGGACAGAAAACAGACTTCAATTACTCGATGCATATCAGTGAGGTTTTTTTTTTTAAAACATTGGTCATATCCCAATTGCACAGAAGGAAGTTTACCTTTCATTTTGCCAATAATCCTATAATACTTGCTCAAAATTAATTAAGATAGCAAATTAACAATTTGCATTCTTTAAAAAAAGCACTGTGTTGTTAAAGGAACATCAGGCTCTTTCTACCAGAAAAGCGTAATATCAGCTAGCACTCCCGATATCACTGCAAGGTCATTAATATTGCCAACCTCTTAGAAGCATGTGTCTGAAACTACAGCTGAGAAAGCAACAAGCTGCTTCAAGGAACTGGAAGGGGTTAGAACCAAACATATTTTATGAGCCCATCTGTGCAGAACTGCTGTGACTCTGCTGCTATTAATGCAGAAGTCTAACACTGCAGGTATACTCTTCACAGGTGTGTCTGCTTTGTGTTACGTTGTCAAATAAAATAAAGCCAGATCATGCTAAACTCCATCCACAGTCACATAATGAGTTAACAGTGAATAAAGTAGCTAGAAGTCAGAGATGACCTGAGTACGCAACCAATCAGCTTGATGCTACTAGAAAACAGACTCAGACTCATAGAATTTTGTAGTTTCACCGTAATGACTGGGGGACCCCCACTTGTCACGGTTGCAGGACACTTCACCTTTGACCCCTCTCTGGTCTCGGAGTATATCCTCTCAGGTATCAGGCCCTGTACCTTCACTTATCTCAGGGGAGAATCTCGGCATTCTCCCGTTCTTGGGCCAGGCCCAACTGAGTTCAGTGCTTCCCTTTGGGAGTTATCAGTGGTTAATACAGGGGATCAGGCAGTTTTTTTCAAACCAAACAAAGTTTAATATAAGGGACAAAGCATTTTAACACAATAAATGGTCTATAAACCAGTCATGATTATCTTACCATAGCCCTAGGTAGGCCTATTTTACCCCAAACCCCAACCTCCAGAATATGGGGGTCAGTCTGCTCCCTAACAGTGTCTGCCTCAGTCTCCCCTGTCTGTCAGGGACTCCCTTTTTAAAACTAACCAAAGGCTTTAATTCTCTCCTGTATCTGCTGAACCTGGTTACACCAGGTCCAATGGCTCAGCTCCCTACCCAAATGTACACTCTGCATGCCTCTTATCCCTTTAAGAGATTACCATGAGATGTGACTAGCAGGATCCAACACCCCCTGGACCCCCCATCCAACACCATTATGACAAACCTGCTAGTGAATTAGCATAATATAGGCATATAGTAAACACCACAATACCTGGTCAAGATACAATATTTGTAAGTTACAGGTCAGCCCCATGTCCTTTACACCACTGGAAAGAAACTAATTTTGCAAATTGTTCAGTATTTGCTAAAAAGCATAAAGCAAGAGTAAAGCATCAGAGGAGAACAATTTAGACTAGGTATACAAGCAGTCATTTTGAATAAGTTGGAACTTGCTTGAAAATCATGAGTTATAAATATGAATAGAACTTGAACCTTAGAAGTTAAGTTCCATTTACTTTGATCAAGGCATGCATATTTAAATTTTTTTTGGAAATTAAGGTGTAGAAGTATGGCAAGAATTACTTTCAAACACAAAGTCTTTCTTTGAATGACAAGCTTTAAATTAAGTACATTTTTGGAGGTTTCCCCTGAAAAGCAATGGTTTAGAACAAGGGCAAAGAGGTTTTGCAAAAACCAAAATTTCAAGTTATCTAAGCGTTGCAGAACACTGGGCACTGTATTTTACCATCTCTGACTTTACAATTTTAATTTAGCATTTCTTATGGAACTTATATATGTTCTGTTCTTTATCATAAAATGGTAATCCACTGCAGTGAGATTCCAGGTTACTATTATAGCTTGATGGAGAAGCGTAGATACCAGTGGGAGTTTTGACTGCATTTTGAAGTGCTGTAGGTGACTGGAGCTGTGTATTAGCAAGGTTCTTAAGCAGTGGGTCTTACATTTTTGTACTGTGGACCACTTGAGAGCTGTTCCTACGGAACAACTCCCCTCTCTACATCCCAATACCCCACTTTAATTGAAGCAAATACTGTGAAGGCCCCTTCTCTGAAGCAACCCACTAGACCTAAATTATGCATTAAGGGTTCACAATTTATGCAGCAGTATTACAATATTAGTGTCAGGGGAAAGATAATTATTAAAATGGTGTTGAGAGTACATGAGTAAATTAGGGGCTAACATCTTTACAAGAATATTGTAAGTATAAAAAACCTCAAGCATTAGAAACAGAAAACTCAGAGTTGGAAATTGAACTTCAAAGAAACCCAAACTTCAAACACTGTAGAAAAGTCAAGTTGCCACAGCATGGCTGGTGACATCTTCAGTTTGGAAGCATCACTACCACCAGTCTGGTACAACGACTGCACCACGGCCATCATTTTGTCTTATCTTCAAATGTATTTTCATAAAGAGTTTAAAAATCTGCTGCAGCTGTGGATTAAGCTTACATTGAGAAACTATGTACTTATACAGACATGTACAGTACCAATTGTAAGTATATTTTCACACCACAGTAAGCTTTTCTCTTTTCAATTCAGAAGCATGATTTAGTTATCTGGGACTAGAAGGTTTCTTTATACTAGTTCTCTATTCAACAATATTCTATAACTGGTACTACATGAAGTCCCACTAAAGAATGGAGAAAGATGCCATTTATCTCATCAGCAGTTTTGAACAGTGGATCTCTCTATAAACAGTGTATGGCTGTAGCAGCCACTAAAGTTTTAAACATCATTAAAAGGGAGGAAGCATTTGGGGGACGGGGTGTCATGGACTAAATGAAACTTACAGATGGAAAGACTGTCTCTCAATGTATTTTACTTCTTGTCTGGAAATTTACTGGTAAAAAACTATGCAATTTAGCACCTGGAAGCAAAGAGGCAACAACATATCAGTAGCTGGAGAACCACTAGGTTATGGGTTGAGTTTAGTTGGAAGGAGGAAATAGGAGCTCTGATACGACAGGCTTACGTTTTGTGGACAGCTTTCTCCCCACTGAATAAATGATGAACGAGGATGAATTAAGATGGGGAGGTCAATATCTGTGAGAGTAAGTCCATGAGAGCGAGGGGTCCATGGACAGGCTTTCATTTTATACCCACTGTCCCAGACTCATAGCAGGTGGAAGACTGAAGCTAGTCTCCGTGTGTGGGCACGCATGCAAAGAAGAGTTTAGTAAGGAAAGACTTGGTGGCTTATATTTTGGGGATTCAGCCCACAGGGTCTGAAAGAGACAATGAGTTCGAGTTTGCCCATTTCTCTAGCCTTGCTAGGTGAGGGGCTGCGGCCGTATTGGTAATCTTCTTTATGGATCCCACCTGCACACGAAGGAAGAGGTCTATCTGGGAGGAGAGTACCACTAAGGCAGCACTAACTAAAGCACAAATGGTTCAGCGTCTACCCTAGCTGTGCTTTCTCACTTTTTGAACAATTGTGATACCGTCACATATCCACACTGTTCTGAACCACTGCCACAGCAGCAATTCCCATCCACCACCACCCTGCAGTGTAGTGTAGGACAATGCTCTGGACTCATTTCAGTGCTGTCCACAGTGTACAAGCTTTCCCTTGCTTCATCCCAAGTAATACTGATGCCCCTTCTGCATCTCATACAGCTGCATGTCCTCTGCTTCCCCACTTCCCAGCCACTCTGTCCCTTTCCTAACGAGCTCCTAAAATGGTGGTCAGAAAAGCTGAAGAGACAGAAAATGGTAGAAAAACTGCTTCCCACTCCCCTTTCACGTGGTCACAGACGAGCTTACGTGATCCATGGCAAAAAGGTGCATTATAAAGCCAACTCATACCCAGTGTCAAAATATCTCCCAAAGCAGCTATAGCCCAGGGAGAGAAACAAAGACAGGGTCTTGCAAGTCCTGTGTCCCAGACCAGACATACCCGCCCAGGGCACCAGGCTCAGCAGCCTTGTATCTCATCTCCATATGGGGAACAAACACAGCAGCTATAAGAAGCCTTTAAAGTTCCATGACATCCTTCAGTTCTGGAACTGGACTTTCCTCACTTGCTAAACTAGTTATGAGTCTCTCTCTATCCCATTCTTCTACCACTGCATCCCTTCAGCAACCCAAGTTCAAGCTCCCTGCCAGTTTTGCTTCTAACCTTCATCCTCTCCCATTTAAAACCCTCCTCCCCTCTTAACCTAACGCTGTGTCCAACACCAACTATTCCCCTATAAAATACAACAAAACTGAAAGTAACTTACTGTAATTTATTGCGTGTATAAACACACAGAAGTGCTAGCTGTCTCACAGCAGAAGTGCTGTAGACAGTTCTGAAAACTAAAATTACTGTTTGTTTCTGATGGGGATTCTACTTTTCATTCTATGACACTGAAGGAACTTCGCAAACTTAAGATACTTCTGTCTGAAAAACGTGTGCTCTTGTTACATCACCTACGATCACTGTAACCAAAGAAAGAATGTATGTTCCAGCTTGTTTGTTCTGTGCATTTGAGAGCATTCTGTGTTTAGTTTAAAGCAACAGAGGGTCCTGTGGCACTTTAAAGACTAACAGACGTATTGGAGCATAAGCTTTCGTGGGTGAATACCCACTTCGTCAGACGCATGTGTTTAGTTTGTTTTCCATGGTATTTCTCTCACACAATGGGAGAGGAGAATTTTTTAAAACACGTACATATGGCTGAAGAACTACCAAGTTTTCAGGGGATTCAAAGATAGCTGCATCTAAAAATATTTTAATTTCTTTCACTAAAATTGTCTGAATTTCATGTTTACAGCATATTTTAGCAATTAGTTGACATATAAAACCATTGTTTTTATAGAACAAAGCAATCTGACACGTCAGATTAAAAGCTGTGTTCGTGAAACTGCCCTTACATACAGTGCTAATATTTTACATGATTTAAAAACTAAAACTTTAAGAAAACCCAAACTTTTGTTTTTTGTTAATCTTGAACAAGAAAGCCTATTGGTCAGGATCACTTTCTCTTTCTGTGTTTGGAATGCAAACATTGCAAGAGAACATTAAAAACCAACTAGATGGAATGGGCTTACTCACGCCTTTTTAAGATGGAAAAACATTTTAAGAACCTGTGTAAAAAAATTATACACACACTAAAATGTTGGGCTGACAGTGTGCTTTAAATTTACTGCGTTTTCACTACCCAACTCCTCTCCAGATTTCATAATTCTTCCAACTAAAGAACTACAGCAGCCAGCCAAGATATCTCAAATAAAGGACCTTCCCCATGCAAGCTGTACAATTAAGTTTTAAACACTGATGTCTGAAATTACTTCTTAAAACTAAGGCACTGCAAATATTCTTTAAGTTGTTTGGAATTTCTTTTCGTGTATGCATTATAAAATGGAGGTAGTAGAATACCTCCTCCCCAAAGTGAAAATTGCACTGAGATTTGCAAATAAAGCAATTCAACATTCTGTATGACTATAACAAGTTCTCCCCAACTTAATCTGTGCCCTGGTCTAGGTTAGCAACAGTGATACAAGCATAAAGAAGGCTTCTGTGAACACTGGTGTTTTTCAACTCCTTGCATGAGGTTAGACAAAGTGAGATTAAAAATCACCACCTGCCTCCAGAACTTAATTTACACCAGCACTCCCACTACTGCTACCACTGGTGGAGATGCACCAGTAAGAATCTTTTTATGAAATTCCCTAGTGTGAACAACACCTTGGTACAAAACAAAGTTATGAGCGTTAACAAGTCAGTCTGCTGGTTTACAAATCAAACAC